CCTGATCAGAACTCTTGGGATGAGGAGTTGTCGATTGTGCAGGGGTTGTACAACAACTCCATTCACTCTTCCACCGGGATGACGCCTAACCGGCTGCATCTTGGATGGAAAATCCGCAATCCTCTATCTTATATGTTCCCTGAACAGCCACCTGGCCTAACACCTGGCCAGCCAGGCTACAGCGCTAAGTTCGATCGCCTGCTCAAAGTTGTTGCAGCTATGGAAAGGCGACACAGTGCCATGATAAAACATGCTAACAAAAAGCGCCAGCCTGCACCGTTCACAGTGGGAAGTTGTGTCTGGGTCAAAATGTCTGAGTTTTCTGAAGAAGGTGTATCACGAAAGCCTCTTCGTCAGTACCACGGTCCGTGGAAGGTGTTGAACCAGGTAGGAAGTGATTCCTTTGGCCCTTCATATACGATCGATGTGCCTGCTCATCTGCGCACATATCCAGTCTTTCACGCATCGAAGTTGTTTCCGTATGAATCACCCGAAACGTTCAAATATAGAGAATCGATGATTCCCCGCACAATCAGTGGCGGTCACGAGATTCAGAGGATTGTCGAGCACAGTGGGAAGGGAAGAAAGAGACAGTACAAAGCCCATTTTCTGTACCACCCGTTGGATGATTTCTACTGGATTGCTAAGAAGGACTTACTGCAGAGTGCACCGCGCGTCGTTAACGCCTATGAACGATTGACAAGTTCTGAACAACAACCAAAATTCACTGCTACCCTGAATCCTACGGAACACACCCGATCTCTCTTTGCTATCTACGCCTATGATGCATTATGCAAGGACTCTGATTGAGTTACTCGCTCGAAGGGACCTCGCTCTTGAGGGGGGCGTAGTGTAATGACCCGTCATAACACAGACTGAGAACACTGCTGATTTCTGAAGTTTTGCTGATGGAATGGATGCCTTGCTGAGATTCCCGCATTCTGTTGTGTTTTCTAAGTCTGTCTGTGTGTGCGTGCTTGTAACCTGCGTGCCTGTCTGAGTGCTTGTTGGTATGAATGTGTGTGTGACCCGCAAGGGTACTTGCTTGTTTGGCAGGCCCGTAGGGCCGGTACTTACCTGTGGCCGTGGCATTGAGGGTTGTAG